AACCCCCCCCCCCTCCCCCCATTGAAATAAAAACGCATCGAATTCATGTTACTTATCTACAAAGTATAAAGGCATAATTAACTAATGCTACTAACATTTTAAGTAATAATTCCATAATTGTGCTAGGGAAAACTGCTGGCTTAGTTTGTCCGTAATTTTAGGTAGGATAATCACTTATCACCTGTAGGATAGCAAATATATTTTTATGCTAGCAAGTATTTAATAAATAATAATAATAAATTGGTAAAATAAAAAGAAAAATAAAAATAGCCTCCTTGCATGCAGAAATTTTGTATGTGCCTCCTGTCCAATCAGTCATGCCATTTCTCTACACTCGCATTTATTTTTTAAATCGTCTGCAAGTAATGACTGAAATGAATGTGATAAAATGGCAAAATGCAAGACTTATTCAAACCATAAGAGTTGTCTCCTAATGGAGAGCCAGCAACTTAAACTAAGGCAGATAAATTAACATAGTGCAAGTTAGAACAGCAAATAGTTGAGGAGAAAAAAGTACATAAAATGTAAAAACTGTGTGAGAAAGTAATCCATCCCTCTAGCCTGTCCAAGAATAAGGAGAGCAATTCAAATATGTGGGTACTGCAGAGAGAGTAATTTTTTAAAGCTGTTTTATATCATTGAGGATAATGAGAAGGGAAAGTTCATCACACCTGATATTTGCAGCTCCTAGAGATGAAAGAACTTGATTATCAAAATTTCAGGAAACAAGAGGAATACTGTGCCTGTACTTGTGTGGAAGGGTAGGAGAAGGCATAGTAGATATGCAGATCTGGATATTTTATATCGATCAATTGATTGATTGATAGATATATAGATATTTATATATAGATATAGATAGACACATATCTATGTCTATCTAGCTATATATAGAATAATAAGGTCTTGTAAAACATTTTGTTAGGAACAACAATTGCATGACTTAGAAAGTCTTGGAAATGTTTGTCTTAAGAAAAAAACTTATATTTGCTTGTATTGGGCAGACTTTTTTTAGTTTATGCAGTACTGTGTAATCACTAAAGAATTAGTAAGGTCAGCTAGCCAAACTGAAAAAATAACACTGTGTTAGATTAAGCTGTGTAAAATGTCAACACATTTCATAGCTGTCTGTGCAGTGGGCATGTTTTCTATGCAATTTCCTCTCTTGTATTTGTATGGAAAATTGAGAACTCTAGTTTGTTCCGTAGACTCAATGATTTAATGATCAAAGATAATTGAACAAAATTAAGGGATTTTATTTTGGAATTGAATCAAATTTCATATTTGTGTAGCTTCTGCAGTTTTCATCTGGCTATTTTGGTATTTAGGGTTTCTTTTAGGTTTCGCAAACTGGTCAATTGACCAGTCAAATATTGTCAGTTGACTGATCAATAGTCTGCTTATTTTTTTGACCAATCAGAGATTATAATTTAACAAAAAAAAAAAACCCTGCATTTTTCTGCAGTTTTCTTGACAAAAGTATTATTTTTTTATTGTTTTATGGCACATTGCTGAGTGGAAATTTTGTGCATTTTGGGTATTATTTGGACCTATTGGCAATTTTTTACAATTGACTGGTCAATATTTGACCAGTCAGTTGACCAAACTTTATTTGGCTGGTCAAATGCCCAACCCTAGTTTCTTTAGCTTTTGCTTCATTTGAATTATTTTCCTTCGATGTCTGATTGTATAAAATAAAACTTTGGGTGCTTTTTCAACATTTTCTGTGATTTGTTCTTTAAAGAAATTGAATACACGTACAGTTCAGTTTCATCTTTTTAAAGTCTGAAACATTAAAATACTGCCTTTCATATGTTGTATGTTGAGGTTGGAAGTTTAATCGTAGGGTTGGAAAGAGGTGTTCAATTTTTTCTTAACCAGTAAAGTTAATTTAAGAATGAGATTGTAGCTTCCATTAAGTGTTCCTTCTTAACAGGAATAATTACATTCATTTAAACAGAAAGCAGAAGAGGTACCAGGAAATTTTTCTATTATCCTGACCTCTCTCTGTGTGCTTTTTGTAAAAATGTATTTTTGAAAATACAGTATACTTTTCAAACTAGTAGTTTTTAGGCATCAGTAAAATCTGCCATATTAATATTGTGAAGCTTTCTTGTTTGCATGATGATTATTTATTACTACCTGAAAATAGCTTACATATTTTCATTAAGTCAAGTTCTTCAGATATCTGAGGCTGTCAGATATCATTATCAAATTCTCTCCAATGTGAACATGATTTGATAAAAAGCTTTCTTCAACAGTGCATCAGCTTGACTAGTTAAATCACATAAAGAAGCAAAAACTGATTAACGTGGGTTTCCCCCCCCCCCCCCAGTATCCAGCAGAACCACCAGATTGCTTTGTGGACTTCCCTGTTCAATTTGCTGTTTCTTGGATTCCACAGGTAAAAAAATCTCTACTACGTACCCTTTTCTAATAACTAAGATTTTATTTACTTATCAGTTCAGAGATGTATTTGCACTGTGTATCTGATGTATGACAGGTGTTTGGTAGTGATGTGTAATAAAAAAAAGTGTCTGACTATGTAGTACTTTCTTTTCATTTGTTTCCTGTACACGTGTTTAGGAAATGTATATATTTAGAGCATTACATTTTAATTTTATAATATTTACAGTATCAAATTAATCTGTTGCCTTCAACATTTTAAATCTGTTCCCAACCTTGTAGATGTACTTTCTATACCCATCCACCTCTAATACATTGTGTAGTGCTAAGACTCCAAATTCTTGTGAGGTAATACTGGGAAAATAGGGGATGAGATTAATAATTACTGATACCATGGAAAAAACTGTTGTCTAAAATTTGACAAATATTTTTGTAAAGTCAAATAGGCAAAAATAGTTGTCCTGTTTGATCTATATAGCCTAATTGTATGACTCATAATTACAAAATCATACATGTAACATATCATTCTGATTCAATAGTTTTAACTGATTTGTTCTTTTTAAGAACTGAAAGCCTTTTTTTTTTCTTTTTGAGGAAGGCATGTTGTTTCTCATACATTATTTCTTGTATTGTTCTCCATTTAATAAAAGTACTTGTGCTTGACTACATATATTTAAAATAGATTTAAAACATGTCAACTTAGAAGCAAATTAATTTGAATCAACTGTAGAAAATATTTGAGGTTTAGATTTATTTAATTCTGGAAAATTTAGTTTAATTTTTTTTAAACAATTTAAATAGTGTAGAAAAATCTTAGCCTGTCAGATTATCATGCTTTCCAGCTACATGTGCATGTACAACATTGCTTTTACAGGGGGAGGGATAAAGGTTGTAACAATACAAGCTTCGGATAATTGCATCCTCTCTGTTTGACAAAGCTGTGAGTTTTGTATATCACCCCAAGTCACTGACATATTCCTGATGTGGAGCTTAGTGAAGGAACCCTGCAGGAGTGAGTAAGAACATCCATGGAAAAATAATATATTTTCACACTTAGCTGTTACCTTCAGAGCTTTGGTTGATTGCATAATTGTTTTGGACGAACTCAAATGCATATCTTTATCCTGAAGAAAATCCAAACTTTATGTATAAATTTATGTTTGATATATATTGGTATTATGTAGCTTCTGTTCTGTATTATATTTTATATTATAATTTTAACTTTTTATAATATTTATTTACTTGATTTATAGCCTCCCCTCAAAAAAGAAAGGTGACTTAAGACAGATATTTTCACCAAGACTGTTTCTATTAGTTTGTTGTTGTTTACCTTTAAAAACTTCCAGCTGGCTTAATTTATAATAAAAAATGCTTTAAAACAAATTTAGGCATCACCCTTACTACCAAATTACAATCAATAGTCAGTGTTTATATACAAGTTGCAAGCACATGAAAATCCAGTATTGTAAATGTGCCCTACAAAGTTTATTGAAGTGAAAAACTACAGATAGTGCCTAATACTGCTGGAGGATGAAGTCTACATATATTAATCAGGTAAATGTGCAGCTTTTGCAAAACTGTGCGACTATTCTTTTAAACATCTATGTTGTATATTCCATAATATAAGGGGCACATCTTAGAAAATTACAGACTCTTTCTTTTAGAATGCATGGCTTTGATTCATGTGGGGTATATCCACACTCTGGCGAAGCTGTGATTCAGCACAATAAATGCTAAGGTGTCAGTTGGATCAGGAGTCAGCAGTTCCTGAAGTGGTTGAATACATTGGTACCTAAGAGGGAAACTGAAAAAGAGGACTAACTTAACATCTCGTGCTCTAGATATTTTGGGTATTCAGCCTGCAATTCTAATCCTGATAGGTTTTTAATTTTAACATATGTAGGTCACCTTTAATGGAAGAAACTGACAAGACCCCTAACTGAAGCAGTGCAAATGTCACTGTTATAATACAAATACAAACTCTTGTTAAAGAGAATATAAATAGATTTCAGGTAATTGATTTTTTTTTTCTGTCTGCTCTTGCCTATTTCAAGTTCTGTTTTAATGCTTATGGACTTTAAACTTGGAAGATCTTTATTTTCTCTCTCTTTTTTTGTATAATAATAGACATGGCTTTATGGCATCCATATTAAAAATGGGTAATTTTCCTTATGGTCCCTGTCTTCCTGCTGGGTTGATAATGTTTTGATGTATTTTTCTTTTGCTCTGATGAGAGGTCTGCTGCTGCTGCTCTGACACATTCATTTGGATGAATAATTATAACTTGCACAATGTCAAGCTGAAGATGGTAGGGTTTTGTGCGTCATGACAAGCCTAGTAGCCAGTGCAGGTGTCTCACAGCATGATCAGCAACAGCCAGTGTATTCTGGCTCAGAGGAGACATTTTAGAGTAGTAAGAAATCAGCACCAAGGGCAATGCTGCTGCTGCTACTGTTATAAGTGCCAAATAAATGCAAAGTGCTTCTCAATGACAAGTGCAAGAACATCTACTTATTTCAGTTATATTCTTTTTCTAATTAACCAGATAAATTTGCTGTCTACACATTTTAGCATGCACTCTAGGCATAGTTGTGCAGTTATTATATATCTATATTCGTTAGCCCACATAGTAGAATACTAGTCTTATATTGACCACTACTCGCCTGGATTCACACATGAAGGTCATGAATGTGGAAATTAATGACTAATGAGGTCATGCAGCTAACAATGAAACTGCATTACAAGATCTGGTATATTAGTATGGATGGAATTTTTCTATAGTTACTTGGAAGAAGAATACATATAGTGAAAGAACATATATCATAATTGTGATATTTCTAGCCTAGGCACTATACAAAGCTCAGCTTCCTACATGTCTCTAAGGCAGAGGACAAAGAGCATAGAAAAAAAAAAAAGAATTGCCATACTGAGTCAAACCAAAGGTCCGTATGAACCAGTATCCGGTGTCACTGTGGCAAATAGCAGATGCTTTAGACAAATATTAGAAACTGGACATGTATAAAGTGATCACCCCATCATAACCTCCTGGTCACCAGCAGATAGTTACATCCCTAACTTGTGTTGTGTATAATACCCACTGATGGACCTATCCTCCAAGAATATTTTAATCATTTTTGGGGTCCATTCGAGAGTGTTAACTGGGGAAAAAAACTAACAAAAACTTCCTAAATCTTTATATGCCCTCTGACAGGTTGATTAGTGTTGATGGTGATGCAGAGGAGAGAAATTGTTCAACTTCAATAAATGACAAATGGTAGCAACAGGCCATGTAAATCCAAAGGACAGTACATTCAGATGTCAGGTCATCAAATCCTTCCCACTGCCACTACAGAATTGTTGACAATGGTCAGTTACAGACATTACACATAAACCAGTATAAGTGATGAGAAACCAGTCTATACCTGTAACATAACAGAAGTTTGGGGCATATAGACTGGTTTAAAAATGATGGAACCCAGTTTTTCCTAAAAGTCCCAGCTGTGTACACATGTTCAAGCTTTTTATCCTACAGTAAATCAGGCCACTTCAGGAGGAAAAAATGATGTGGGAACCAGGGTTAAATCACAGCCATGAGAGTTTCTCCAGGGAGAGCAAATGTCTATACATGGTATGAATTCTCTCAGAAGAATAGTCCTGCAGCATCTCCCTGCTATCCCCTGCCCCCTACTCTTGGAAACAGTGTGTCACATGCTGGACTCTTGTTCCAGGAGGGAATTGACCATGAGCAGTCAGCCATCAGGGCTGCCCTATATACTACTGCTATCTGTCGCCAGGCAGACTAAAGGAGTCTGTAGAATACACTGAGATGTGTATGCAGACTCCCTACCCTGGCCCCCCAAGCTACACAGTGTCAGCACTGCAAGCTCTCCATTCTTGAGGGGCTCAGCAGTCAAATTTCTGTACCTGTGGCTCTGGGTAAGTTTTTCTACCAGGAGAATAAACATTGAAAAATTATCCCAGATTATTTGAATGCAAGTATGAAGTTTAGGATGCTGCTCTGCAGTATCTTCTAAGTAGCCATGATTGGTCTTAGACATGTGTGGTTATTTGTTTGTGCGTGCACACACACACTACTTTTACAGGGTTCCTATATTCACAGAGTAAGTTTTACCATTGACCTCAGAGGGACCAGGATATTGTTTGTAGCATTTGTGAAAAATCCCAAATTTAATGTTGTCCATGTGCAGTTCCTGCTGGAGAAATGTCTCCTTTCTAAATTATATAGTCTTTTTTTCACTTCTACTTTGTTCTAATATTATAAAAGCCTTAATTTGTCTGGCTATGAAGAAGCGTTTGGATGGGTGCCAACACACCACCATGATGGCGGGGACAGAGCTGTGCTGGCCTCACCACCCTCACCCTTGCTCCTTGGAGGTGGCGGCGTTGCGGGGGGGGAGGGTGGAAGAGCAGGCGTGCTGTGGTGGTGGGGGGGAGCGGCAGGCCCGACGCGGCAGGGGAGGAGTGGGCTCTCTACCCCTGCTTGGGCCTGGGCCCACTCCTCTCCCACCCCTCCTCTCCTGTTTCGGCCCCGTGCCAGCTCCTCCTATCCCCCTGCTGCCACCGGGTCAGCCCGAGCCCACTGCCGCCCCCCCTCCCTGCCATGGCAGCCCAGCTTCTATCCACCCTCAAGCCCGGTCCTTCCCCACATTGGGCCCGGGCCTGCTCCCCTCCCATGCTGCTAAGGTGGGGAGGGGTGAACAGGCCCGGAACCCAAGCAAGAGGAGGGAAGTGGGGAGTGGGCCCAGATGGGGCGGGGGCCATGGGGCTCCTTCCCTATCCACCTCTCCCCCGTCGTCTTGACAGGCAATTGGCTAGTATGATTGACATTATTCTTCTCTTTTCGTGTAGTACTTCATTCATGTACTTCAGATCATTAAACACAACATGAAATAATTTTTTAACTAAGTTGCATCTGAATTTTTCTTTGAAAACAAACATCCACTTGCATTTTTTTTGTCTTTGAACTGTGTGTGTCAG